GCCGCGCCCCCGATCCCCGGCGCTCGGACTCGGGGGGCGGGTTGTCGATGTCCTGGAATTCGCTCTCCGGCTCCATCAGCGACAGCCTGGGGAGCTGGGGGACGCGCGGCCGCCTTAGGACCCCGCTCGTCCCCTCTGGGGCCCACGGAGCGGCCATCACGGGACGGGGGGGGCTGGGGCAGCAGGATGGGGGCATCGGGGACCCCCTGGGTTCCAGGCGGCTCGGAGGGCTCCGGGAAGGCCGGAGGCCCTGCGATTCCTGCTGGGCTGCAGCCGCAGGCCGCACTCGGACCCGGCCAGCGCCAGGCTGCACCTGCCGGATGTGCCCTCAGCCCCAAGTGGGCAGGCCGGCTGCCTCTGAGGGGCTTCCCGGCCCTCCCGTTCCCCCTGTGACTAGCTGGGGCAAGGGGTGGCTTGGGCCCTTTGGGTGACCATTAGAGACCAGCTGCTGTCCCTAGAACTTTACATCCCATCCCCCGGGGAGTCCCTCCCACCTGCCCAGCCACCACATGCCAGCACGCCAGGCCTTCAGTGGGTACTGTGAGATGAGCACCACGCTGGGCCTCGGGGTTCCTCAGACTGATGATGGGGTGCAGACAAGAGGCCTCAGCCCAGGGGGCCTGGACCTCTGCCTTCAGAGCTGGAAAGCCCCTCCGGAGGGCACTGAGGGTGGCAGGAGGGTGTCCAGGGACGGGGCGGGGGACCGCAGCCCTTCTGGTCAGCTCTCCCTTAGCTGTCCTGTCAGGGCCCCCTTGGGAACAGGAAGGTGGCGGGAGGCGGGGGGGGGGGACTCACCGGTACGTAGTGAACCACCGTGTCCACCACGTTGTCAGTCACGCCCTTCAGGGCGTCCGACAGTGACATGGCCCGCTTCTTCGTGGAAGAGATGGCTGGAGCCGGCGTGAGGTGCAGTATCCGCCCTGCGGTGCCCAGCACAGCCGCGGGCGCCCAGGTCACAGCAGAGATGGTGCTCTGGAGGCCTCGCCGCAGGGAGTGGACCGCCCCACCCAGCAGGGCCTGCGGGCTGGGCAGCGCTGACACCTGAGGGCCAGAGCACCGTCGGAGATCAAACCCAGATGCTGCTAAGCACAGGATCCACTACTGAGCTCACACCCTGCCCCCATATCTGTGTCTGGATGTGTCCATACTGGGGCTTGAACTCAGGGCCTAGACACTGTCCCTTAGCTCTTAAGACTGGCACTCTACCACTTGAGCCACAGCTCCACCTATGGTCTTTTAGTGGTTAATTGGAGATAAGAGTCTCATGGACTTTCCTACCTAGAATGGCTTTAAACCCAGGATCCTCAGATGTCAGCCTCCTGAGTAGCACTGGAAGTGTGAGCCACTTGTGCCAAGGCGGCCCCCAGGCCTATTAAAAGACCTTGATTGCCTGGTGTCAGTGTCAGTCTTGCTACCTTAGAGCCTGAGAGCTGAGGATCACGGTTCAAAGCCAGCTCTGGCAGAAAAGTCTGTGAGACTCTGATCTCCAATGAACCACCAAAAAGGCTGGAAAGTGGCTGAAGTGACTTGAGGTAGAAAAAGTTCAGAGAAAGCACCAGGCCCTGAGTTCAAGCCCTAGGACGGGCACAAAAAGAAAACAAGAGCCTAGTATGTAGAGTTTGAGATCTTCTGCCAACGGTACTGGTAATTATATGCTTTATAATAGTAATTATACACTATGTTATAATAGTAATTATGTAACTTAGGTAAGATTACAGCCCCATACCTATTTTTGAACTTCCTGTAAGTGGGTCATACAGAGAGGGCTCCTTTATGAATACCCACTCATGTTCCACACTACAGAAGACAGCTTGCAAGCCTGGCTCTGACCCTTGATGTGTGGCTTTGGGCATATGTGTTCTCCTTCAGTGCATTTCTTCATCTGCAAAACAGGGCAGCTATCTCTGCCCTGCCTCTTTTTGGCAGGACTGGGATTTGAACCCAGAGTCTTGAACTCACTAGACATACTCTACCACTCCAGCCACATTTGAGTGATTTTTCCAGATAACGTCTCTTGCTTTTTCTCCTCCGACCAGCCTCAGACCATGATCCTCCAACTTGTACCATTGCCTATAAGTGGGATTATAGCAGCGGACCACCACGCCCAGCTGGTTTGTTGAGTTGGAGCATCGATAGCTTTTCATATGGGCTGGCCTGGAACTTTGTTCTCACCCCTTTGCTGGGATTACAGGCATGTACCACCACACGGCTGCACCCTGACCTGCCTCTGTGAAGGGCTCTTGTGAGGATCAGCTGAGAGAGTGTCATGGAAATGCTGTCCTCCGTGGGTTTGGAGGCGGAGAGAACGAGAGTCGCACGCACGCGCCAGGTCTCTGGCTGGCATCAGAGACCCTTGTTTTACCTCCTCCCCCCGCCCCACGGCCCGGGGCCTGCGAGGTGCCTGCTTTCCCCCTCACCTCGCTGAACCTCTCCTCCGTCTCTGACTCTTCTTCCTCCGTCTCCTCTCCCTCCGAGTCTGTCTGATCGTCGTGGCTGTCCTCCTGGGCCAGGCTGTGCAGCCAGGCCCCACGCCCCTCGCTCTGCCGTGGCCGGGACACCACCTGCATGGCGGCCGACGCGCCCCACTGGGCCAGGCTGCTCTGGGGGGGGACGGCGGCAGACCTCGGGCTCAGCGGTCTGTCCGCTGACCGCCAGGACCCCAGCGTCCAGAGCCCCTCGCTCCCAAGGCCAGGTGGTTGCAGGGCCTGGTCCCCAAAGACTTTTCTTCCATTTTTTTTTTTTTTTAATGACAGGTCTCTCTATGCAGCCCAGGGTGGCCTGGAACTTGAGATCCTCCATCCTCAGCCTCCTGGGTGCAGGGATTACAGGCATGCACTACTAAACCTGCTGGAGCAGGGCGCCGGTGGCTCACGCCTGTCATCCTAGCTACTCAGGAGGCTGAGATCTGAGGATCGTGGTTCAAAGCCAGCCCAGGCAGGAGAGACCGTGAGACTCCTATCTCCAATAAACCACCAGAAAACCGGAAGTGGCGCTGTAGCTTAAGTGGTAGAGCGCTCGCCTTGAGCTGAAGAGCTGAGGGACAGCACCCAGACCCAGAGTTCAAGCCCCACAACTGCCAAAAAAAAACAAAAAAACTGCTGGATAGGAACATTCTTGATGTCTTTCATAGCTTTCTTGAGGCACCAGGGATTCAGTGCTAGGGAAACTTTCTACCCCTGAGCTATCCCCTAGCCCAACAAAAAAAAAAAAGAATCTCACAGACTTTCCCTGGGCTGGCTTCAACCCATGATCCTCAGATCTCAGCCTCCTGAGTAGCTGGGATGACTGGTGTGAGCCACGGGCACCCAGCTTCCGTTAGTCCGCGTTAAATGTTGAGCTGGGGTCTTATTAAGTTGCCCTGGCTTGAGATCTTTGTCGCTGGGATTACAGGCATGAGTTGCCACACCCCACACATCTTTAGGAGACGTGGCAGGGCCTCCCTCCTTGCTGTTCAACTTCTACATGAGCAGCTGGGGTTCTGCCCACTGCAGGCTGAGCTGAGACACTCACTCACCAGCAAAGGACCCTTGGTACGGGGACAGTGAGCCACTTGCCGCTCCTGTGTCCTCGTGGGCCACAGCACCTGGCACGCTGTAGGTCTCGGCGCAGCTAGGTTCTCAGCAAGTGTGTATGTGTGTGAGGGAATGACCCAGGCCCGGCGATCCCTCTAAAACTGCCTCTCATGCCGGACACCTGTGGCTCACGCCTGTAATCCTAAACACTTAGGAGTCTGAGATCTGAGGACTGAGGTTGGAAGCCATCCCTTGGATGGATTCTTCATCTCCAGTTAACCAGCGAAGAGCCAGAATTGGGCAGTGGGGCTCAAGTGGTAGAGCACCAGCCTTGGGCAAAAAAGCCAAGGGAGAGCGTGAGGCACTGAGTTCAAACCCCGGTACAGTCACAGAATCGCCGAGAAGTCCCCATGTGACTTGTTGATCTTTGTGCTTTTATGTTTCTCTCGTTGCTGAGGATCAGACCCAGGGCCTCTGGGATCCTGGCAAGCATTCTCCTAGTAAGCGGCACCGCAGCCCGCCCTCCACGCTTAACGTGTTACCTTCCCTCTGGGCCTGTGTTTCCTACGCAAGCTCCTCATGCAGACGTTCCAGACTTGTCTGTGCAAAGCCACACAGAGACAGGGCTCCCTTGGGCGCAGGGTCCCAGACAGTGAGCCCACCGGCCCTTCCTCGTCCTGAACTGAGGGGCCAATCCCGTCAGCAGAGAAGTTCCCAGGAGCAGAGAGAAGCCGGGGTGGGGTGGGGTCCCCCAGCTGCCAGCCCCCCCCCAGCAGCACTCACCAGGGGCGCCACGCCGGGGATCCACATGGCCAGGGCGTGCCCCTGCTTCAGCGCCCAGGCCGAGGTCCGCATGGTATGTCGAGACAGGGTGTTGGCCAGCGCCCCGACCCTGTTGGCCAGGCTGGGCTTGGCCTTGGGGTCCTTCGGGGTCTGGGTGTGTCCAGAAGTAGGGGCTGGGTGGGGATTGATGGAGAAAGAGCCATGGTGTCACCCCAAACCCACCCACCGGCGCCGGACCCCGCCTGCTTCCCTTCTCTCCGGGTGGGGTGAGGGGACTACAAGATTCTGGGTCCCTCTGAAGATTCTGCCCCCGCCCCCGCCCATTCCAGAGGGGCGCTCATGGGCCGGGCCGCCTCCTGCCGATTCCCAGTGCGGGCCGGTACCTGACTCCTCGCTGGCCGGAGGGAGGAGGAACCCCATCACCTTCTCGATGCCGTCCAGGGCGAGCTCGGCCCCCCCGGAGGCCAGCCGGCCGGCCCGCGTCCCCGCCGCGTACTCCACAGTGTCTCTGGCCACCCCCCAGGCGAGCTCGCAGCTGGCCAGGGTGGCGCCCAGGACTTTGTCGGAGGTGCTGGCGATGGGCACGCTGATGCTCTTCCGGGCAGTGCGCAGGCGTGTGGAGATGGTGCCCTTCAGCTCAGAGGCGATCTGGGGGGCGGGTAAGGTTGTGGGGTCTCCTTGCAGGCCCTGGGAGCAGCTGCTTTTGGTCTCAGACCCCACTGAAGAGTCTTATTAAAAGTCTAGGAGGCCAGCATCCACACTGGGTGCTGGTGGAGGCTGGGCGTTTGGCCTCTTCCCAGCCCTCAGGATTCTGCCTCTCCCCCAAGACAGCACCAGCCCCCCCCAACCCCCAGGGGGCAGCCAAGGACACAGGGCCAGGGGAAGGGGCGTGGCGTGGAGGGTCGGATTGCGGGGATCTCAGTTTGTGCACCCCTGGTTTAGCTGGCTGTAGTCTCCCAGAGCCCCGCCAGCCCCGCTGCTGCCCTTCCTGAGGGGCGATGGCGGCAAGAGGGGGGGTGGGGCTCACCTTCTCAGGCGGGTACTGGAGGGCAGGGATCTTCTCCTCCAGGTGGTCCAGGCCTCGGCAGGCCAGCTCATTGGCAGCTGTGACTGCAAGGGGGTCACTTTTCGGTGTGTTGGATAAAAGCACCTGAAGCCCAGAGGTGGGAACATCTGCCCAGCCTGGGGCTCCAGGTTCTTCCTTGTGAAAGGTGGACTGGGGGTTATCGTGGGGAGGAAGGGATGGAACCTACGAGAACTGGCAAGGAACATCGTTCTCTTCATCATCATCCCCTCCCAACCCCCCCCCCCCCGCTGCCTCTCGCCTGTCTGGGTTCTGGGTTCTGGGTTCTCCAGAGAAGGAGAGAAGACACACGGGTCCCCAAGGGAGGCAGGTGACAGCAGAGACCTGGGGGGCCTTCGGTGACAGTCCCCAGCCCCAGACAGCTCCAGATCACCATGGCCCTGGCTTTTAGCTGGGAGGGGTTGACATGGCTGACCGGTGGTAGGGATGGGGGGGGGTCATGAAGACGTTTGTAGACCCTCATGCATTAATTCATTGAGCCGCAGAGCACGCAGGTGATGTGCCGTCTCCTGTCTTTCCAGGCTGCTGGGGGAAGGTGCTAGACTTCTCTCGCAGTTGGGGTTTCTCTCAGCGTGGTCATAGGGTGCCTTGGAGACCGCAGTCTCAGATGGGACTGAGCGCTGCTTAGGGCCAGGCTGGTGGGGGCCATAGTCAGCGCACGGCTCTCTGCTGCCCCCATGTGTCACAAACCAGCCCAGCAGCGGAGCGGGCGCCCTCCCGCATCCCCGCACGCTGCTGCCTCCGCTCCAGACTCTTGGTTCTCGCTGCCATGGCTGGATGTGGAGCTAGGGAGGGGATCTGGCCAGTCCCCCACCCCTCTCTCACCAGTGCCCACCCCTTCCCATGGGCATTGTTTCGCCCACCACTGCCATCCATGGCACATGCTGAGTGGACAATTGCTGCAAAGACAGCCATATCTACATCTTTTTGTTGCTGTTGGTGGGGCTCCAACTCAGGGCCTGGACTCTGTCCCTGAGTCTCTCTGTTCTCCAAGGATAGAGCTCTACCACTTGAGCCACAGTGCTACTTCTGGTTTTTGAGTGGTTCATTAGAGCTATGAGTCTCACAGGGACTTTCCTGCCCGGGCTGGCTTCAAACCATGATCCTCAGATCTCAGCCTCCTGAGCAGCTGGGATGACAGGCGTGAGCCACTGGTGCCCGGCTGTTACCTAAATCTTGATATGGAGATGATGGGCTGTCAGGCAGATGGGTGAACACTTTATCAGTCATCAGACAGACAGACAGACAGAATGGCAGGCGGGCAGGTGGCATCAGTGGGCAGTTACCAAGTATCCTGGGAGAACTTACACTGGGTGGAGAGCCTGCGGACCACCGGCTCCATGCCCCAGGCGGCCAGGCTGCTGGCGCCCTGCACGCCCTTCTCGTAGGCGCTGCACACGGAGGCCACCAGCGGGTGTGCTTCCTTCGTGCTGGTGTAGGTCTTCTGAACACACTCACAGGTGCCGCTCACCACCGGCAGCTGCAGGACCCGGTGCAGCACATTCTCCTGCTCCTGTAGGCCAAGGAACACCCTGCAGTTACCCCATGGAGGGGGGGCGTGGGCTGGGGGCCGGGCACCCACTGCGAGGCTGGACCCAAGACAGCTGGGAGACACCGAGAACAAAGCGACCTCCCAATGCCCCCGCCACAGGGGAAGAGGAGAGTCAGCCCTTCCGCCAGTGCCGGCCCACCCCGGGGGCCCCAACCCCACCCCCCTCCCAGCAAAGAGCAGGTGTCACTGTGCCCGTGTGCACAGGTATTCCTCCTTCATCTGATGTCTCCATCAACACAGTGCTGTGCTCTCTCCCGTCCCCCGTCTCCAGATGCTGGTCTCCTGTGCAGTTCCCTCACCTTCCCTCCCACGCGACTTGGGTGGAAGGCCACTTCCCTCGTGGCTCCCGTGGGAGTATGACCACACACACACACACGCACACACACACACACGCACACACACGCACACACACGCACACACACACGCACACACGCACACACACGCACATACACACACGCACACACGCACACACACACACGCACACACACAAACACACGCATGCACACACGCACACACACGCGCGCGCACACGCGCGCGCGCACACACACGCACACACGCGCGCGCGCACACACGCACACGCACACACACACGCACACACGCACGCGCGCACGCACACGCACACACACACGCACACGCGCACACGCACGCACACGCACGCACACACATGCACACGCGCACACACACGCACACGCACGCACACACACACGCACACACACACGCACACACACACGCACACGCACACACACACGCACACACACGCGTGCACATACACACGCACACGCACGCACGCACACACACACACGCACACACACACGCACACACACTGCATTGTATCCACTGTGTCCTTCCCCAGGCTGGCTCCACATCTATCCCACAATGCTGTGTGTGTGTGTGCACACATGCACGTGCACGCGCACGCACACATACTCTTGCACTTTCTTTCTCCCAGTAGAGCCTCGTCTCTACGGCCAGGGCCGGCTTGGAAGTGTGGCGCAGGAAAGAGTCGGAGCACTGTGTTAGCGTCAGGGCCGCACCACGCAGAGTGTGGAGCTTTAGATCTTCCCAGCCTCGCAGGATCCTGGCTTCCCAAGGCTCGGAAGCAGAAGTGCTAGCCAGCATGTCGGTGCTGGGCTTGAGCGTGGACGTCTCTGTGGCTGGGAACTCCCCCCCCCACACACACCAAACACACACACAGGGCCTGGGCCGGCTGTGGCCTGCCCAGCTCGGGTCTGCACACTTCCTCGTCCTCCCTCTGTGCCCCGGGACAGCGCTGAGCAAGTCTGTCTCGCCGGACACACGCTGGCTCTTCACAGGTTGCAGGTCAAATACATCTTCCTTAAAGAGTCTCTTCTTCACCGGAAGTGGTGCTCACTCCTCAGGCGGTTTATAAATGGTTTGCACTGACCAGGTGCTGCTGGTTCACACCCATTGGTGGCTCCTAGCTACTACTCAAGAGGCTGAGATCTTGGATCATGGTTAGAAGCCAGCCCTCACAGGAAAGTCTGTGACATTCTTTTTTTTTGTTGGTCATGGGGCTTGAACTCTAGGCCTGGGCGCTGCCCCTCAGCTCCTCAGCTCAAGGCTAGGTCTCTACCACTTGGGCCACAGCGCCACTTCCAGTTTTCTGGTGGTTTATTGGAGATAAGAGTTTCATGGACTTTCCTGCCTGGGCTGGCTTTGAACCGTGATCCTCGGATCTCAGCCTCCTGAGGAGCTAGGATTACAGGCGTGAGACACCGATGCTCAGCTGTGACATTCTTTTTGTTGTTGTTGTTGATCATGGGACTTGAACTCTGGACCTGGGTGTTGTCCTTAAACTCTTTTTTTTGCTCAAAGCGAGCACTCTACCACTTTGAGCCACAGCTCCACTTTGGTGCTTTAAGGAAACAAGAGTGTCACAGAATTTCCTGACGGGGCTGGCCTTGAACCTTGATCCTCAAATCTCAGTCTCCTGAGTAGCTAGGATGACAGGTATGAGGTACCATCACCCAGCATCTGTGACATTCTTAGGCTGTTGGCACTGCCTGGTCTTCGGAATAATAAGAATTGTGCACAGCAAAAATAATATGGGAAGACATCCCAGGCCTGGCTTAGATGCTGGAGCTGTGCCCCGGGACAGGGCTCTGACCAGAAGAGCAGGCCTGGCCTGCTCTGTGCGGCGGGCTGAGCTGGGAGAGCCACGGAGCAGACCCACGGGGTCGCTGGACAGAGCGGGCAGCAATGCCATTCTAGGCAGAGCAGGACTGTTGCAGATAAAGCTCAAGGGGCTGGGGGAGGGACTCACAATGCTGGAATTGCCTCTCTCTGTGCCCTTAATACAACACCGAGCAACTCAGCGACTCCCAAGGCCAAGGCCCTCGTGGGGGAGAGGAAGGCTTATGGTTCCCAATGCGTAAGTTTTAGCAACTATCTGAACTGGGCCCACATCCGAGCAGCCTTGGCAAGAGGCGTCCAAGAGAAGTATCAAAATCACCCGAAGTCCCAGTGAGAAACAGGCTAGAGATAAGCAGAGAAGCAGTGGACACCGGCTCGTTCCCACACGCAGCAGCTCAGGCCACGCAGGGGAGGTGACATTCACGGGGGACAGACACCAAGCTGACCCATGGAGTGGCTCTACACAGATCACACATGCCCGACTTGGGAGACTGAGCCTGGGCTCTTTGTTTTGGGGACATAGCTGTCCCCTTCTGTGCCAGCCCCATAAAATCCCAGCCTATAGCTCTGTCCCTTTTTGCTTAGTGGGTTTTTTGTTTGATTGGTTGGTTGGTTGGGTTTTTTGGTGGTTGTTATTGTTTTTGCCAGTACTGGGCTTGAACTCAGAGCCTGGGTGCTCTCTCTTAGTGCTTTTGCCCAAGGCTGGTGCTCTACCAATTGAACCACCACTCTCCTTCCAACTTTTTGGTGGTTGATTGGAGATGAGCGTCTCACAGACTTTCTTTCCTTCTAACCAGGATCCTTAGCTCTCAGCCTCCTGAGTACGGGAGGGTCACAGGTGTGAGCCACAAGCACCTGGAACTCTTTTTTTTTGGGGGGGGGTCCGGTCATGGGGCTTGAACTCTGGGCCTGGGCGCTGTCCCTCAGCTCTTCAGCTCAAGGCTAGCTCTCTCCCACTTGAGCCACAGCGCCACTTCCGGCTTTTTTCTTTTTGCTTATGTGGTGCTGAGGAATGGAACCAGGGCCTCATGCATGCAAGGCAAGCGCTCTACCACTGAGCCACCTTCCCAGCCCAACCTGGAACTCTTTTGCTTGGTTTTTCCTAGGAGTCTTTTCTTTATCCCAGATCGCCCCCACCCCACGCCCTGCCACCCCAGCCCTGCAGAGGTAATGAAGGCAGCAATAACTGACTCCTGGCCCAGGAATTAGTAGTGCATTGCATACAGCCCGCCTGTCTCATGAATCTCCCCACCATCCCGTCACCCCCGCGTGCGGGTCCACCCGCCTCAGGTTACTCACCGGGGCGTCTCCAGCCACCAAGGTCGGGCTCTTGTTTGCTGCCATCCCAGCGGTGCACCCTGCAAGGCAGACCCGGGCGTGTGAGAGACTCGCAGGCCTGTGAGGATCCGCTCCTCCTTCTCATGGGCTCCTGGCTTGGGAGCTCAGCAGCCCCAGCAGAGGGTAAACGCCACACGCTCAGGCCACCCCGGGGCCCTCAGCAGGGACGGCTGCCCAGCCTAAGATCAGCACTGACATTGCTTAGAAGCGCTCAAGACAAGAAATAACGTAGGAAGTGGCGCTGTGGCTCAAGCGGTAGAGTGCTTGCCTTGAGCTGAAGAGCTGAGGGACAGCACCCAGGCCCAGAGTTCAAGACCCACGACCGACCAAAAAAAAGAAAGAAAGAAAGAACACAGGAAACCACGAGAGAGAAAAGAGAAAAGGCTGCCGGGCACCGGTGGCTCACGCCTGTCATCCTAGCTACTCAGGAGGCTGAGATCTGAGGATCGTGGTTTGAAGCCAGCCTGGGCAGGAAAGTCCAGAGACTTCTATCTCCAATGAACCAGCAAACAAGCCACAAGTAGAGCTGTGGCCTAAGTGGTAGAATGCCAGCCTTGAGTGAAAACACTAAGGGACAGCGCTCAGGCCCTGAGTTCAAGTCCCAGCATGAGTACCATAAATAAACAAAATTTAAAAAAATTCAGATAGAGTCTCCGAGCCCTTAGCTGAGGGTCTAAAAAGAGACTAATGAGTGTCAGGCTTCAGTTGCTCATAAAACTAACCATTGAGCTGCATTCAGGAAAACCGAGTGGCCCAAGCCACTCACGCGCTCCACTCCTGGCCCTGGGTCCCCTAGGTGTCCTCCCAGTAACCCCCACCCCCAGCACTCAACACACACCAGGACCCCATACACACCGCAGCTGATGGCCGCCGCACTCCGAGTGCCCGGGCCGCAGCGGCTCCAGACAGAGACTCCTCCGGTCGCCAGGGAACTCTTAGGCAATGCCCGCTGGGCTCCCAGCTTGGGGAGGGCAGACAGGAAGGGAGAGCAGGGGCCACCAGTTGCCATGGTTATCTGACCCAGAGTCCCCTGGGTCCCCTGTAAGGACATTTGGCCCAGGAAGATGTAGCTCACAGGGCAGGAGACCCGAACTCAGAGGGGTTATTATTACTGTTAGCTGTTATTCCGGCGTTATGAGGCACCGCTTCTGCAGTTTTTGCTCTTGGTGGGATGTATGTCGTTAAAGTTATCGATCCTCAGGTTCCGTACTCCTCTGCGATCATGGGCTGGGGATGCGGCTCGGGTGGTGGGGTGTTCGCTTGCGTGCCGGAGGCTCTGGGTTCAATCCCTAGTCGTGAAACATGAACAATTAATTCTGTAATCATTGGTTCCTTTCCCCAACCTGACAACGTAGTGGCTGAAGGAGGTGCCTGAGGGGGGCGGTGAGAGGGGACTAAAGGAGCTGCCTCAGGGCCTCTTAGTTAAGATGGGTAAGAAGGCTGGGCACTGGTGGCTCACGCCTGTCATCCAGCTACTCAGGAGGCTGAGATCTGAGGACCACAGTTCAAAGCCAGCCCAGGCAGGGAAGTCCATGAGACTCTTATCACCAATCAACCACCAAAAAGCTGGAAATGGCGCTGTGGCTCAGGTGGTAAAGCACTAGCCTTGAGCACAAAAGCTCAGGGACAGCAGCCAGGCCCTGAGTTCAAGCCCCAGGACTGGCACAAGAAAAAACTTACAAAGGTGAGTCCGAGGACAGCACTGGGGCTATTTCTGGCTGTCGAGACATGGACTGTGCTGGCCGGGCTGAGCGGCCGCCAGAGACCCCGGCGTGCAGCCCGGGTGTGAAATACCACAGCACAGGAGCCGAAGGGAGGTCATGGAGGAGAGTCAGGAAGACACAGGGGCCGAGGGAGCCGGCCGTGGGGAGAGGAGGCGGCTCGGGCCTCTCCCGGGCTTCCACGGCGGACGGCAGCCTGGCCAAAGGGCAGCGTGTGTTCTGGGCTCCGAGCCGGGCGCGGTGCTGACACAGCTGGACGCGGCTTCAGTGCTGGGTTCTCAATGTGGGTGAGAGGTGAGGCTGGTGAAAGGGAGGGGAGGGAAGTCCCCGGGGGAGCAAGGGGCGCGGGCAGGGCACAGGGCACAGGGCACAGGGTTCGGGCCTTTCCCCGCCCGCTCTTCTCGCCTGTTCCCCACCTCCACACCTCGGTGGGGGCCTGGTCACGCTCCCTGGTGCATTTCCCACCCCAGGCACGGCCCTGAATGGACGCGTGGGTCATGGTGCTGGGCTGTGAACGAGCCTCTTTAGTTCTCGGACTCCCCACAAATGTGGAGGCCGTGGAGGAGGCAGCGGGCCTCACAGGGGTGCGCAGCAGCTCTGGAGAAAGCAGGCGGCGTTTCCCAGCTTGCCCGCCGCCCACCCCGACTCACAGGGCCCCAAGGATGGCTGTGAAGGCCCTGGGGACGCCCACAGCTCCTGCTGCCCACGCCACAGCGGGTGGACGGGGCAGCTCACAACACACTGACACGTGGGGCGCCACGTGGACCCTCCCCGCGGCAGGCCGCCTCGCGCAGCGCTCCTCTCCGGTCCCCAACACATGCACACGTGCCAGCAGGCTGAATCTAGAAATTTATTGGTCACAATGCATCTCTAACGGTAGAGGATTGCGAGGTTAAAAAACAGTGATTGGAAAGTATTAGTTGCTTGGTCCCAGAAGCTTCCTACAAAATTCCCCAAATAGTTCCTTAAATCTACCTCAGTTAACCAGGAGCCCAAAGACCTGAGATTACTTTTACAGACTTCCAGTCACATTTCCAGGACACAATTCATTCAGTGCATATTCTTCTGATTTTCTTTTTTAGTCAGTCGTGGGGCTTGAACTCTGGGCCTGGGCGCTGTCCCTCAGCTCTTCAGCCCAAGGTGAGCGCTCTACCACTTGAGCCACAGCCCCACTTCCAATTTTCTGGTGGTCAATTAGAGATAAGAGTCTCATGGATTTTCCTGCCCAGGCTGGTTTTGAACCGCAATCCTCAGATCTCAGCCTCCTGAGTAGCTAGGATTAGTGGTGTGAGCCACCAGCACCCGGCCTTCTTCTGATCTTCTATTCAGATAAATGATGTGGTGACAGTGTGACATGGGCCTCCTCCCTGGGGGACCTCCGCCTTGACACCTGAGACAGGAGGCGAGGACTGAGGGAATGCTGAGTGGATCACAGCCCTGCACGCTCCTGCGCTCTGTGTGAGGTATCAGACACCGTGGTGAACTTCCACCTACTTCCACCTCGGGTCAGGATTTCTGTTTACTCACGGGTGACCCGGAGGCTTCTCTAAGGTTCCAGAGGCTTCTTGCAGGTACAGCTGACACAGGGGCCCGGCGGCTGAGTGTCTGGTGCCCAGCAAGCCACTCAGGGCCAAAGGGCTGAGAGGCTCTGCCCCCTTGTCCTGCAGCCCACACCCAGAGGTGGGGAGATGGTGGCAGGAAGGAGGGAGGGCGGAAGTCACTGTGGCTGTGCGAAGCCCAGGTGCACACAGCCCAGGCCCCACCGAGTCCTCGCTCGTACACTGTTAGCATGATGCTTTCGTCTCCTGTCCATTCTTACTCAGACGACACCCAGGCTCTCACTTGGGAGAAGCTCAGCAAGGATTAGAAGAATGGAAAAGAAGTATACACATCAGGGCTGGGAACGTGGCTTAGTGGCAGAGTGCTTGCCTAGCATGCGTGAAACATTGCGTTCCATTCCTCAGTACCACCGAAGCAGAAAAGGCCAGAAGTAGTGCAGTGCTAGCCTTGAGCAAAAGGAGCTCAAGGACAGTGCCCAGGCCCTGAGTTCAAGAACCAGGACTGGAAAAAAGAAAAAGAAAATGAAAGAAACACACACATACATTCCAACACTTTAAAAAACAAACATCAAGCCAGGCACTGGTGGCTCACGCCTGTCATCCTAGCTACTCAGGATCCTGAGGTCTGAGGATTGTGGTTCAAAGCCAGCCTGGGCAGGAAAATCCATGAGACTCTTATCTCTAATTGACCACCAGAAAATTGGAAGCGCTGCTGTGGCTCCGAGTGGCAGGGAACTAGCCTTGAGCAAAAGAGCTCAGGGACAGTGCCCAGGCCCTGAGTTCAATGCTTAGGACAAAAAAAAAAAATGCCCCCCCAATAAAACCCCACACATCAGTCCTTATACCTTATTCTTGACCTTTCTTACATTACCAATCATTAAGCACTCACTCAAAAAAAACCCCAATAAACCTTAAAGCCAAGCACCGGTGACTCACACCTGTGATCCTAGCTCCTCAGGAAGCTGAGATCTGAAGATTGCAGTTCACAGCCAGCCTGGGCAGGGGCCAGTCCATGAGACTCTCATCTCTCATTAACCAACAGAGAACTGGAAGTGGTGCTGTGGCTCAGTGATAGAATGCTCACCGTGAGCAAAAAGAGCTCAGAGACAGCACCCAGGCCCTGAGTTCAAGCCCCACAACTGACAAAAAAAAAAAAAAAACCCTAAGCAGAGTCTAACCCGGCTGGTGGCTAACACAAATGCCTATTTTCCCAGACGTATGTCATCTGCACGGCCAGGGGCTGGCGCGGGCTCCGAGCGGCCTAGCGCGTCTTCAGCTTCATCTGGGGGTAGGCCACGGTGACCATGCCCACCAGCGAGGACAGCAGGCCCCCCAGCCCGATGATGCCGAGGCTGGGCCTGCAGAGGCCCAGCTGGTTCAGAGGGATGAGGATGTCGCACAAGTTCTTCACTGTGTCCAGGAGCAGGGGTGGGTGCCGCTTCAGAGATCGGAAGAGGAGCAGGACGGAGGGCTGGAGCTGCTCGCTCTCCCCGTGGTCCCCCGCCTGCCACCCCTGGGCGTCCAGGGGGGCTTTCTCTCTCCCGGCCCCGCGGTCCGCGGCCTGTGCCAGGTGCAGCGCAATCTCGTACAGGTCTCGGAGCAGGCTCAGCAGGAGGAAGCAGTAGTAGTGGCGGGCGGCGCGCAGCTGCCACCGCTCCCGGTGGACGCGGGAGGCCAGGCCCACGCTCTTCGCCCAGAGGACGGTGTCGCAGACGAAGTAGACCACGCGGTTCAGGTTGGCTAGTGTGAGGCACAGGCGCGGCACCGGGTCGGCCGCGCGGATGCTCTGCTCCGTCGCCTGCACGGCGTGCACCACGTTGCCCAGTCTGAACCCTGCAAGGAGAGCGCACGCCGAGAGTCACTTCGTTCGCCCAGGGCCCTGGCAGCGCCAGCCCCTCTCCACACACCTGTGGGCGCAGGAGGCTGGAGCTGGGGCAGGAAAGGACTCTGGGCTGCAGCCACCTAACGTGACCCTGAGAGGCACTAAAGACAGTGCCCCCCTCCATGGTCTCCTCCGCTGCTGTGGGCACGCCACGCCAGCCTGGGCACATTGACAGCTGGGTTCCCCCCCCCCTTCTCCACGGGGACTTGGGACATTCTTTCCTTTGCTCGAGGTGAGCTTTCTACCACTTTGAGCCAAAGCACCACTTCCGGTTTTCTGGTGGTTCATTGGAGATGAGAGTCTCATGGATTTTCCTGCCCGGGCTGGCTTTGAACTTCAATCCTCAGATCTCAGCCTCCTGAGTAGACAGGTTGAGCCACCAGCACCCAGCTTTCGTGTGACATCCTCATACAATTAATTTTCCAAAGAAGACTGACTTAAAACCACACACACACACACACTACTGCTAGTGGGGCGGAGTGCAGAGTTGGGGCTCCCAGGCAAACCGATCAACTCTTAAACAGCAGCCCTTATGATGTGGGCCTGCACTTTAGTCAGCTTGGGGCCGTCAGCTGACATATGTTTACTGACCCCTGGGGGAGGGGCTGTGGACAGAGCACGAAGACTTTCCTAAAGGATGGCACTTCAGACTCAGTGCGTTTGCCTGTGCGAACTCTCCAAGTACCTGGCACTAACTACTTAGATCGTCTTGGATCCACACATACTGGATTTTCAAGAGTTTAAAGCACCTTTAAGCAACGGCATGCTAAAGAAGCTAAGCTATTTCTAATCTTGGCCTGGAAGGCGTCTAGAAGAGATCACTGCACCCCTGTGGCCTGGACCGCCTTTGTCAGATGAGTTGCGCAGTTTGACACCAATCCTCCCACACAATCACTTGCTTATATTATAACAGTCCTGACTTGGCTCAGGAAAACCTCCCTTCTAGAATGTTCTATTTCTCCAGCCATACCTCAAGTTTCTCCTCTTCTAAAATATCTTATTTTTCTACCTTAAGCCACCATAGCCAGCATTAAACCTCATATCCTTACTTAGGGCAGGTGATTTCATGTCTTTCATAAAGCTAAGGAATGCTCCTTTGGGAAGGAAGTACTCAAACCAAGCCACTCCACAGGTGAGGTGGTCAGTCTTGTTCTGAGGTCCCCGTTGGCCAACTGTGGCAACATCTGGTCAGCAAGGAGTCAGGCTCACAAGTGTGGCCAGAAGTGTGCCATTCCCCAGGACACATGATCGAAAGCATCTGTGTGAGAGTGAAGCGCAGCTTCACCTGCAGCCTGTGGGGGAAGAATGGCGGCCAGGCCCTCAGGTGCACGCCAGTAATCCCGGCTGCTCAGGAGGCTGAGATCGGACAATCTCACCTAGAAGCCAGCCTAGGAAATAAAGTCTGAGACGCTTGCCTTCATTTAGGCAGTAAAAATCCGGAAGAGGAGCCGTGAAGGCAGGTGGTATAGGACAGGGCTAGTCTGATGTGTGCAAACTCTTCCCACCCCACACCCATCGTGACTAAGCTGAGGTAGGGTGTAGCTCCAGGCTACCTCCTGTGTGCACTCAGGTGGGTGTTTGTCTTCAGCTTTCTGTAGTTCCTTGAGGCAGCCTGACCTGACAGGCTAGTTTCATCCGTGATCTTGGTGGACTGGAAATGGTGACCCTGGAGAAGACACTGTGAGGGCTGGGGCTGGGGCTGAGGGTTCTAACTCAGGAGTCGAGGTACTTACACTTGCGACCAGAGCTCACACTGGACTCCAATTTCTTGAGCTTCATTACCAGCTTCTCGCTGCCAGCTTTAGACTCTAACAAATATCTAAGCAACATGCATGTGTACTGAGTGGCTCTGAAATGGAAACACAAATGAGGAACATGAATTGCACACCGGGCTTGTTTCGGGGCCGACTCCTGTTCTGAGACCCATCTGGGAAAGGAGGCTGTATTGTCATGAGCCCTCTAACCAGAAAACACACTTTAAAAGAGACTTGGAAGACTGATATCTGAGGATCGAGGTTCAAAGCCATCCCAGGCAGGAACGTCCATGAGACCCCTTTATCTCCAATTAACTACCAGAAAGCTGGAAGTGGCACTGTGGCTCAAAGTAGTAGAGCACTCGCCTTGAGTGAAAGAGCTCAGGGACAGCGCCCAGTCCTGAGTTCAAGCCCCATAACCCACAAAACAAAAAAAAAAGTGATTCATGGAGGAAGGGAGAGGGCGCGAGTGCATCCCACACACTGTGGGGCCGCTGCCCTTAAAGGAGCAGAAGTCATCCCTCCCCAGGGACCCCGGGGAGAGCTCCAGCGCCACGCAACCCAGCATTGGGAAAGAACCCTGCAACCAGGCACCGGGCAGCGGGCAGCCAAAAGCGCAAACTTCCAGCCCAGAAGGTGTTTTAGAGTTCCACGTGAACTTGTCTATCCCAAAGCTAACCCACGAACAGAAACCAACCAACAGTCCACAGCTGGAATAGTACTTCAGTGTCTAAAGCTAAAGGACCAATAAGCTGGTTGTATACCTGTAATCCCACCAACCCAGGAAACAGAGCCAGGAGGCTCAAGAGTTTGAGGCCAGACAGGGCTACAGAGCAAGTTCTGGACCAACCTAGACGACCGTCTTAACACAAAACCAACAAATCAAAAGGGCCAACTATTCACCAGGATGCAGATGAGTACACATGCATCTTATATATATGAAGTCTAGGAGGAATACTGTTTAATAAAATCTTCAATCGAGCAGTTATTGTCAGGCCTGCAAGTGACAATGATTTAGTGATAAATTTGATAAATGAGAAAGTTATCACAATGAGAAATGAGAAAGTTCTCAGTCAAACATCCGAATACACCTAAAACTCCGCATCATAAAGGGAGGTGCTGGTTCCTAGTGTTCCGTAACTGCCTTTGAGACCCAATATGATATATATATATATATTTTTTGATGGTTGTGGGGCTTGAACTCTGGGCCTGGAGAACTGTCCCTCAGCTCTTCAGCTCAAGGCTAGCGCTCTACCAGTTGAGCCACAGTGAACTTCCAGTTTTCTGGTGGTTAATTGGAGTCTGGAGTCTCACAGACATTCCTGCCCGGGCTGGCTTTGAACCTTGATCCTCAGATCTCAGCCTCCTGAGTAGCTAGGATTACAGGTGTGAGCCACTGGTGCCCAGCTTGATATAATAATAATAATATTATTATTATTTTGGTCCTGGGGCCTGAACTCTGGACCTGGGTGCTGTCCCTCAGCCCTTCAGCTCAAGGTTAGTACTCTACCATTTGAACTACAGTGACACTTCTGGCTATTTCTGCTTATGTGGTGCTGAGGAATTGAACCCAGAGCCTCATGCATGCAAGGCAAGCCACCTTCCTAGCCTAAATATTATCCTCAATAAAAACAAGGCCCATTCTCCAAAATGGTGAAGTAGCTTTTGGGAATTAAATGCAAAGGGAACATGGCTGTGCGTGTGTCTCAACAGCAGCGCCCACACCTTGCATGTGGAAGCCTGGGTTGGACCCTGGAGGGAAAGGAAAGGGAGAGGGAGAAATAGGGGGTTTCTCTTCTGGTCTTTGCTCTCTTTACCAGGGTTTGAATCTCAAGCACTCTACCACTTGAGCCACACCTCAGGCGCAGTTCTCTCTCTCTCTCTCTCTTTTTTTTTTTTTTTGTGAGTCGTGGGGCTTGAATTGGGGGCCGGGGCACAGTCCCTGAGCTCTTTTTTTACTCAAGGCTAGTGCTCTACCACTCTGAGCCACAGCACCACTTCTGGTTTCCTGGTGATTAATTGGAGATAAGAGTCTCATGGACTCTTCCTGCCCACGCTGGCTCTGAACCATGATCCTCAGATCTCAGCCTCCTGAGTAGCTAGGATTATAGGCAAGAGTCACCAGGTCTCTTTGTAAGTGTCTTCTGATTTGAAGGCTCATGACAATACAGCTTCCTTTCTCAGATTGGTCTCAGGAGTAGGCCTGAAAACAAGGCCTTCTTGGAGGGCCACCAGGCTGTTCATGAGTGTCTACAGAGCGTTCAGAGGAGTAGGAGTTGCTGGAGATCTCAGACTTTGCTAAGTATAGTGGAAATGATTATTCTAACCACATTCCTCCTTGATAAGCTGGACTTGCAGGATACAATGTAGGCACAATAAAGTGATAGGTTTTGATTTTAATAAAGCCTGAACAGAACACAACTGTGTAGGAGAGCCCATGGCAGCCGTGGGAACAGCAGTCCGGCTTAGTCACTGAGAGGTGAGCACTGGAGTCAATGGTGTGCATTTCTATCTCACTTGACCACTTAGTATATCTACTACACCATCTCCTACCTGTGAAAGATTTAAATCTCTACTCCTGAGGGTTACTTAAGAGTTGCAAAACACTGCAATGTTGGCACCCCAGAGTCTCTCTTTCTTTTTTTTTTTTGGTCGGTCATGGGGCCTGAACTCTGGGCCTGGGCACGTTCCCAGAGCTCTTCAGCTCAAGGTGAGTGCTCTACCACGTGAGCCACAGCGCCACTTCCAGCTTTTTCTGTGTATGTGGTACTGGGGAATCGAACCCAGGGCTGCTCACATGCTAGGCAAGGACACTCTACCACTGAGCCACCTGCCCAGCTCCCCAGAGTCTCTTTACTGGGACGATTCTTACTGGTGGGTTTGTGTTAGCATCTGCAGACCCAGAAAAGAGGGTTATTCAGGAAAACCGCCACAGTGGCTCGGTGTAAAGGACTATTGGGCAGGAATCAAAGTGTCACAAGAAGCATCAGCAGCGGCGCTGCAGTGTCCCTCGGCCCGGTGTGTTGCGGCCACACCTGCGACCCCCTGGGCTGCAGCTTCAGAGTCGCTCCCGGGGCCCCCGGCACCCGCCGGGTAAGAGTGGGGGGCGGAAGGCGCGTTTCTGTTTTTGCCAGTGCGGGGACTTGAACTCGGGGCCTGGGCGCCGCGCGTGAGCTTCGTCTTCTCTTCTTCCAAGCCTCAAGGCTCGACCCCTGGCGCCGCAGCTCCTCCGGCGGCATCTGCCTCGAACTTTCCTGCTGGGCGGGCTCGGAGCCGCGATCCT